TTTTTCCAGGACACCTTCTGTACTACTGAACAGCTCTGTTATGACTGGGCAGAGGAACCTTAAAGTCAATAAAAGTCTTGGGAGGGGTGGTGCTGGTGTTTATCTTCAACCTGTATCTGTTGTTGCTTGTGTAGTCACACTACTGTGCTTTTAGGGGATGCAAAAAAAGGTTCATCTGGGTTCTGTTAGATACATTTTGATTTTTCTTTTATTTTGCTGTTAAGTAACATTGAAACTTAAGGTAAAGATTTAAATTGTGCAAATAGTTTATCAGAAAAAAACCAGCATAAAGAAATCTAATTCAGTACTGCAACAAAAAATTGCAAACACTATTTTAACAACTCATTTCACTTTGCTGTTTAATGAGAATGAAAAATACAATTTTATTTTTAGTCTTCCACTCTCTTTCTCTGAGTGAAATGCTGATGCTCTTTCTTTACATGGCCAGTTCCTGGCCTACTTGATAGCATACCAAATATAACCCCTGCAGAAACTGCTTAATAACAGATCTTTTTGTAGTGGCATGTATGATTTGTATAAAGCATTGCAGTAATTGGCTGCCTTGGTAATGTCAGCAAACTTTAAATGAAAGTGATGCTAACTAGTCCAGATATTTTTTTTGTTCAGGGTAAAGCTATTAGACAGTAAGTGACTTAGTGGTTTTATTGCTTTCAATTAGCAACCCAATTTTATACTCTTTTAATTATCATGTAATTGGATTGCCCCTTTACACTCACAGCCTGGCAGCCAAACCAGCTGATGTAGTATTTGGCACAATTGAAAGGGTGAAGATTTCTTCCATAAATCTTTCTCCAAAGGGTATGTTACTGCCAGCATAGAACCTCTTCTCTGGAAATGGCAAGTGGCCTCTAAACTTGCCCCCCTCATTTGTGCCCAACTCAGCAACCACTCAAATAGTGGATTCATTGCCCCCCTCATTTGTGCCCAACTCTGAATCCACTATTTGAGTAGTTGCTGTAACTGAGGGGGCTGAAGCCTCCAAAGTAGAACTTTTAATGTAAAATGTGACCAGATAGGACATCTGAGCAGTTCTTAAATTAGGTTCAAAAAGGTAATGTTGGTACATGTGTAAGTTCCTTAGGGAAGGAAGTTGTCCCTGTAACTGTTCCAAGAGATGAATTTGACATGTCTTTTGTGTGTTCGTAGTGGAGGGGGAATTAGTGTTGTAAACTGACCTTTGGAGTAAACCAGAGGACAAGGCAGGGGTTGGGGCTGCTTTTAACAGGGACTGGAGAGGCAAGAGAAAGAAGGAAGAGAGTCAGTGGTTTAGGGACTGAAGGAGAAGTAGCACACTGAAGCCTTATTGGGCCTGGGAGAATAGGCCCTTCCTGAGCCTTCAGCTACAGCCCTCTCTCCTCCCCTGGCAGAAGGAGGAGGTGGGAAAGCATCAGCAAAAAAACAAACAAACAAAAAAAAAAAAACCCAGATGCAAGGAGGAAATAGGAAGGACATGTTGCTCTCCCATTACTAGTCCTGGACTCAACGTGGATATCGTCATCCTCTCTGGAGCTGTCTGCATGTGTGGGCTTAAAAACCCATCCACCATCTGGTGGCTGGGCTTGCTTATTTTTTGTCAACTTCTGGCTCCTCTGTAAACTGTTTTGGGAGTGGGGAGGGATGGCTGTTTATATCGGCATTAAATGAGTTAGTAGAGGAACCTCTTCTTACCCTCCTCCTGTAATCCTGAGGGTTAAAAGTTTTCAGCTCATAGTTCAGTTGCATTTATTTGTAGCTGGCATTCACATTTGCTCTCTAATTCAATTTAGATGATGCTGCTTGGCCCAAATTAGAGCAGACTAGTACAAGGAGCTTGGTGCATACAGAAACCAGGGACTAACTCCATAGTTAAGGTCATCCGAGCAGAGTTCTAAATATTTCCCCTCAGTTTTAAGGTTTAGTTATCTGGCTTGAATTCACTTGTGGAATTGTGGTTTATACTGGCTTTTTTTTTTGTCAGATTTCTCAGCTGCTCAAAATGCTGAGTAGCACCTTAGTGTCATCACAAAAATACTGTCATATTCTCATTAAAGCATGTGGTTTCAGTTCCAGCTGTTTGCAAGTCATTTATGTATTAGAGCCTATTTTCTGAATAGCTTCCAGCTACACATTCTTCGGAGACATGAGATTTTACTCATACATGTATCTACTTATAGGTGAGGAATTTGAAACTGGAGCACGAGCAGGAGAAAAACAAGATCTTGTCAGAAGCATTAGAGACGCTTGCTACCGAACACCATGAACTAGAGCAGTCGCTGGTGAAGGGATCTCCGCCTCTCAGCATCATCAGTGAAGAGCAGTTCTATGATGCTGTTTCAGGTAAGTAATGGTGTCCCGAATGGGGGTGTGTAGCCAGCACGTGTGTGGTGAATGCGTTGAGGGGGGTGGGAATGGTCTCGTTTTAAGTGATATCTCTGTATTTCTAAGGTGGAATTAATCTTAGGAGAATGCTTTGTATGCTTTATGAGCAGAGCTCTAGAATCTGGCCTGAGTTCACCTGCAGAGTTATGTTACTTCACCTTAGCATGACAAGTTAAAGAACCATGGGGCAGTCATGAAAGGTCTAGCTGCTTGGGTGTATACACCCTTTTTTTTAAATAGCAAAACTTTAGGCTCCTATTTTAGGAGATGTAACTGTATCTGGTAGCTTTGAGTTGCAATCTCCATGGTGGTATGTGTTTTTCTTTTGTTGTTGAGATCAGTCCATAAAAAAACACTAGTTCTGAGGGATAATGAGGTTAAAGGCTTGCTCTGTGTCACACTTCTATACTTCAGGTGTCACAGGCAGAAGAAAAAGATGAATCGAAATCCTGCATGCGTTTCTGAAATCTTTTCTTTCCCTGTCTGCTCTTCACTATCTTTCATATTTTCATGTGCAGAACATGCAAATAGTGATTTTTTTTCTTTTGAAAACTCTGAGCTGCGTGAGATGATTACACCATGTTTTTGCATAGAGAGGCTGTACATAGTGCAGCTCAGACTAGGCGATCCTGTAGCATACGACTGTCTTACAGCTATGAAGGATCTGGAAAAGCTTGAGGGTGATCATAGTCTTAACTGTAGCAGATAATGAGGTCGTGATGGCATACTTCACAAGCAGGTACGGGGTGAACTTTTCTGTGAGCTGAAATTCCTGGTGGTTCTTACAGATGAGAAGCAGTGTTCCCATGCTCCTTGATAGGTGTTCTGCAGTGCACAGCTTAAGCAGAGAATACAAATGGACGAAGTGGAGTCTCTGCTCTAGCATAGCGCAGGAACACGGTGAATCAATAGCAGGCTTGGCTGCTTGACACAGTGACAAATTTACTAAGCTTTCAAGGAGAAGAGACTTGATGAACACTAGAAACAGGTTTTTCAACCAGAACCAAAAGGAACAATCTTGCTGAAAGGCCTCAGGCTCTTTAGCTTGTGGCAGTGAGGCAGCGAAGAGTTATCTGCTGCTGCTGGAATGTAGTCTCTCCAGCCAGGCTTGCTTTGTGTATATGAGCACTACTCAGCTTTAAAGAGCTGTTAGTCTATACATCTCATAATTGACCTGGTCTCAGTCTTGAAGGAAAGTGTCCAAAGCTGACTCTCTAGTTGGAAGAGGTGGTGTTTTTGTTACTTGAAGCTGCAAACAAGTCACCTTGAGTGGGTTTGTATAACTGTGCATCTTGTTGAGCATATAGATCTGTGTATATCTGTATATATATCTATATATATGTCTGTATGTAAAACCCATATATGTCAATTCTCTTTCCTTTGGGAGAAGTTACTTGACACAATTCATCTTGATTGCAATTTAAATAACTTTCTGGGAAAAGCTCGCTTTCTTGGCTGTCTGTCAACTTCATCAGACTTGTGTTAGAATCTCTCCTCTAGCTTGTTCACATTCAGTGCTTTGCAGCAATTAGGGTCCTCTCTGGCTGAAGGCACTTGTCTGGGGGAAGAGCACTCTGTTTTTCACACTAGGAAAAGGGAAATGTGATGTGTCTTCCTGGCTGCTGGATGCCTGTTACGAGTTTGACCAGAAGCACAAAAGGAATTAGAGGTTTTGTGGGTGTGGCTTGGGGTGGAGTGTGTGTGTGTTTGTTTTGTTGGGGTGTTTTTTAGGCTAATCACCAGGATCTTGATAATACTTTCTAACGCCCTTGCTTTTCTGCCGTGTATGTGGAGCCTCAACTAGGTGGCTGTTGTCTGTGCATGACAAAAATGCAGTGAAGAGTGGGGGGGGGGGTGTCAGGGATATATGACAGTGGCTCAGAGTTTGGGAATGTGAGTCTCCTTGCTTGGGCTAATGAGACAGGGGTTGTGATCATAAATACTTTCATAAGAGAGCAGTCACTAGGCCTAATTGTCAGAAAAAAAGTATACCTCCACAAACATACACTACTAGGACTTTTGTCTTCAAAGATTTTGCTAAATCTGATTTGCAATCTGATAGTATTTATTAAGTTAAACAATAGTGATATTGGATAAATAGAGTCATAGAATGGTTAGGGTTGGAAGGGACCTTAAAGATCATCTTGTTCCAACCCCCCTGCCATGGGCAGGGACACCTTCCACTAGACCAGGTTGCTCAAAGCCTCATCCAGCCTGGCCTTGAATACTTCCAGGGATGGGGCATCCATAGCTTCTCTGGGCAACCTGTTCCAGTGCCTCACCACCCTCTCTGGGAAGAACTTCTTCCTGATATCTAATCTAAACCTCCCTGATTTCAGTTTAAAGCCATTGCCCCATGTCCTATGCAGCAATGCCATTGTCATATGGCAGGGGGGGTTGGAACTAGATGATCTTTAAGGTCCCTTCAAACCCCAACCATTCTGTGATTCTCTGTTTTTATTACTCTATATTCTTGTCACAAGTCCCCCTCTAGCTTTCTTGTAGGCCACTTTCAGGTACTGGAAGGCTACTATAAGGTCTCCCCTGAGCCTTCTCCAGGCTGGACAAGCCCAACTCTCTCAGCCTGTCCCCATAGCAGAGGTGGTCTAGCCCTCTGAGCATCTTTGTGTCCTCCTCTATGCTCACTCTAACTGGTCAGTATCCTTCTGATGCTGAGGGCCCCAGAGCTGGGCGCAGTATTCCAAGTGAGGTCTCGTGAGAGCAGAGTAGAGGGGGAGAATCCCTTCCCTCAACCTGCTGGCCACACTTCTCCTGATACAGCCCAGGATATGGTTGGCTTTCTGGGCTGCCAGCGCACACTGCCGGCTCATGTCTGAGCTGATGAGTAGATCCACCAGTACCACCAAGTCCTTAGAGCTACTCTTTATCCATTCTCTGCCCAGCTTGTGCTTGGGATTGCCCCAGCCCAGGTGCAGGACCTTGCACTTGGCCTTGTTAAACTCCATGAGGTTGGCAGTGGCAGGCTGTCCAGGTCCCTCTGGATGGCATCCCTTCCCTCCAGTGTGTTGACCGCACCACACAGCTTGGTGTCATCGGCAAACTTGCTGAGGGTGCACTCAATCCCACCATCTGTATGGCTGACAAAGACGAACAGTGCCGGTCCCAATACCAACCCCTGCGGAACACAGTTGTCACTGGTCTCTGCTTGGACATCAAGCTGTTGACTGCAGCTATTTGAGTGTGACCATCCAACCAGTTTTTAACCACTGATTGGTCCATCTGTCAAATCCATGTAATTTAGAGACAAGGATGTCATGTGGGATGGTGTCAAATGCTTTGTACAAGTCCAGTTAGATGACATGAGTTGCTCTTCCCTTATCCACCAGCACTGTAATCCCATTGTAGAAGGCCACCAGATTTGTCAGGCCCTTAGTGAAGCCGTGATGGCTGTCACCAATCACCTCCTTATTTTCCATGTGCCTTAGTATAGTTTCCAGGAGGATCTGCTCCATGATCTTGCCAGGCACAGAGGTGAGACTGACTGGCTTGTAGTTCCCTGGGTCTTCCTTTTTGCCCTTTTAAAAAAAATGGGTTATGTTTCCCCTTTTCCAGTCAGTGGGAACAAGACTGCTATGACTTCTCAAATGTGATGGATGGAGGCTTAGCTTCATCTGCCAGTTCCCTCAGGACCCATGGATGTATCTCATCAGATCCCATGGGCCTGTGCACCTTCAGGTTCCTTCATGTTTATGAATTATCTTACTAGGCTATATAGGAGATGAGCAAACACCAATGTATTTTAACAAGGTGATGTGACAAGTGATAATGTCTGTCAGTGGAAAAATGCCACTACTTAACAGTATTTTTTATTAGGATACCATCTTTTCCTAGTTACAGCTCTTTGAATTTTTAAATCTCCACCGTAGGAGTGAGTTTAGAAGTGAGAGTATTGCATAACTAGGCTTGCACTTTGAGCTGAAGAAGCGTTAGCTTTGACTTGACAGGTTGAAGAAGCCACTGCTGCTTTTTCTTTTGTTTTTAAAAGAATGTTGTCTGCGTATTAGACACTTCTGCTTGTTTACTCTCAACAGAAGTGTCACTAGCTGTGACAATTCAGACCAATTCAAGACTTTTTTCAAACATTTTTTTTTAAGAAGTAGCGTATTAGACTGGATATGGTCACAGCAGCAGCTACTTATCCTCATTTACCATGCTTGGATTTGCATTGTACAGAACTTGGTTGCCTGAATCAGGCTCCTGAATGAAGCAGAATTAGATATAGTCCAGCTGCTGTCGGACACTTGGGCCATGGTAGAGCTAATCTGAAGAGAACACCACCAGAATCATAGAATCACAGAATGGTTTGGGTTGGAAGGGACCTTAAGCATGATCCAGTTCCAACCCCCCTGCCATGGGCAGGGACACATTCCACTAGACCAGGTTGTTCAAACATGTCTAGTTCAAGTGCAAGTCCTCAGCACCATCTGTTTGGCTTGACTACACAGCAGTGTTGTCATTAGACTAAATTGGTCACTGATGAGTCTGTTTTGTGTAGTTGTGTCATAGAAATTGTGGGCATTATTACAGGAATAGCCTCTTTCTTTTCCAAAAGTGGGGTGAGGAAATTGTTTGTAATGTGCTAAGGTTGTTTACTGAAGTCTCTCCTTTTTAAGTAATATACTGTAATCGGTGCTTTCTGACTGTTGCAGTAACTCAGTAACTCCTGAACCCCTGCCATGGGAGAGCAGTAGACCCTGAACATGAAAGGAAGAACCTACAGGAAATGGGAGTCACTTTGTGTTACCAAAGTGTGATATCCAGTGTTTAAAAGCAGCCAAGTTCAGGGTGTTATTAATTTGAACTCGGATAGCAGTTAACAGTGCTTCCCAGTGCTCTGATCCTCTCATCATGGGAGTGGTGGAAATGTGTAATTAAACTCGATAGCACATGGAGTGCTGGAGCTCTGTTTCAGGATTGAATGCTTAGCAGATGTCAAACTTCTA